CCCACACGCGTGTGCATGAACACCCACTCCCTTGAGCAGTTGTCGGCTCTGCTGGGCCCCACTCACAGCAGGTGCAGTGACGGCACCCTCAGGAAGCTGCCAGCCTTCAGCTGGGTGACTCCAGTCCTCACGAGTGAGCTGGGGACAAGGGCAATTGCGGGTGAGGGAAAAGCCACTCCAGTGCTCCAGTCCCATCCCAGAGCTGTCTCTTGTCTGGGGGACCCTGGCAGGCCACCATGGCCCTGGGTGTATTTCCCTTACTTCTCCCCCAGGGACACAGCACTTGCTCGCCTCACTGGCAAGGGTCCTGGCAGCACAGCCCACCCCCTGGCTATCCCTCATCCGGGGCCCCCAGTGCTCCTGCTCCCCTTTGGAATTTCCCTTCTGCTCCCTTTCAAATCCCAGCAGCCCCCGTTTGGCCATCCCAACATCCTTTGCTGCCCACCTCCCAAGATCCTGACAGGCCCCTGTTTCCTTGGCACCCTGCCCCCAACCCCTGGGGTGCCAGACTCCCATCCCCACCCTCAGGCCCCCAAAGGGCCTGACACTCACAGTGACAGCAGGGTCGGGGAGAAGCTCTCGGGCAGGTCCGGGGAGCCTTCACACAGGGCACTGTCTTTGGAGCAGGAGCAGCTCAGAGGACATTTTCCCTTTGGGGGTCTCCAGGCCACCCCTGCCCCGGCCTCAGCCAGCAGCAACAGCAGCAAAAAGCCCACCCCTCCCATGCCCCCTCACCCCTGCTGAGGCACCAGCTCCTCTCTGCCCACCCAGCTTCGCCCAGGCTTCGGCCACTACATCTCCCATGCCAGGCAACCCCCCATTCCGCCAGCTGGCACACTCTGCCCTGGCTTCTCTCTCTTTCTGTTCTCTCTTTCAGTCTGTCTTTCTCCCTGTATCCCTTTGGAGTCCAATTTTCTATTTATTTCTATTTATTTCTGTCCTTCTTCCTGCCTCCTCTCTTTTTGTATTTCCCACTCTGTTTCTCTCTATCTCTGTCTCTATCTCTGTCTTTTTTCTGTCTGTTTCTCTGTCTGTCTCTCAGCCTGTTGGCCTTTCTTTCTGTGTGGTGTGGTGGTGGTGGTGGTGGTGGTGGTGTGTGTCTCCCTCTGTCTGTCTTTATTTCTTGTCTCCCAACCCCCTTTTCCAGCTCTCTGTATGTTTCTTCCCTCCTCCCACACCCCTTCTCCCTGGAGGTTTGGGAAAGGGACTCAATGGGCACCGGGTGCGCCCAAAAAGCCGGGTAAGAAAGAGGAGGGGGAGGTCAGAGGCCATAGGAAAAGCAGCTCTGGGGAAGGGACTGGATGGTCCCATGGGCGGGGAGGGGCCACCAAGGGCTGGAGCCTCCCTGGCCACTCCCAGGCAGCCCCCTGTCCAGATTCCCCACTCAGGGACTGTGAGGAGGATGTCACCAGGGTGGGGACCAGATGGCTCTGAAAGCAGGAAGGGGCTGGGAGGAGAGACCACTGGGGCTGGAGTCACCCTAGTCACTCCCAGACAGCCCCCTCCCCAGACTTCAGGAGAGCGCAGTGGACGCTGTCAACAGACTTGGAGGGGCCAGCTCAGGTCCAACTGCTCCCTCTGGTGGCCACACTTGGCAGGGCGCTACCCGCCCCAAATCCACTGCTCTTGCCTGCTCGAAATTAACCCCTTGAGCGCCCGCTTCCCACTGGGGGTACGGAGTCAATCCAGGAAAAATGATAATGCCACCCCTTCTTCAGCATTGGCTCTGCACCAGGCCCTGTCGCGAAGGCTGATCTACTAGCTCCTCTGACGTCTTCACAGCCTCCGAGGTTGATACTGCTGTATGGCCATTTTACAGAGGGACACACTGAGGAGAGAAGGCAGGAAACTTGAGGTCTAGATGACCCAGAAAGGACAGAGGCAGGACAGGAGCCCAGGCGCCGGGTCCAGGGCCTCTCCACATGATTTTGCCTTCTTTCTTTGGAGATCAGAGCTCATGGATAGAGGTTGTTTTTATTTGGACTAAGCTTTTTAGCAATTTGGATAGATTCTGCCCGTTAAATAAGAAAAATAAATAAATGGCAGTTGTTACCAAACCCAAAATAGTAGTAATAATACTTACTTAGCACTTACTGTGTGCCTGTCTCTATGTAAATTTACTCAGTCCTCACAACAACCCTGTGAGGTGGGTACTATTACTAATTCCCACTTTATGGACTGGGGAACTGAGGCATGAGGAGTTTAAATGATTTGTTTCATGGCACTGGACAGATCTAAACCTAACTACTTGCTCCTGCCCTTGAGTAAAACACACAGCCTCTCTCCTCCTGCTGCACAAATCCAGAAAACTTGGGGAACAAAGGGCTAAAAGCTCAGGCAGGATCACACATATCTGGGTTCCAGGCCCAGTTCTGTGTGGATTTAGGAAAATAAATCATCAGCCTCCCTGATTCTCAGTTTTCCCATCTGTAAAATAGGACAATCATGGTGCCCACTTCCCAGGTGTGTAGAACATTCAGTGAGGCAATGGAGGCAACGCCCCTGGCTTGGGGTTCAGTGCAGGGTGGGCATCGCACAGTGGTCAGTGGGTTTAGGGTGGACTCTGGACCTAAGTGCATGGCTGCACCCAAACAGCAAGGCTCTTGGGTTTTGGTCACCTCAGCTGTAAAGGAGGGATGATAAACTCCTTACAGGGTCTTTGAGAAGATAAAGAGCTTAGTGTCTGAGCACAGAGGGGACACTCACAGCATGCCCAGCCCAGTGAGGACAATGATGATCGTCACTTACTGTGAGCCAGGCTTTGTTCTAAATATTTTACACGGCTCATTTCAGATAATCATTCCAACCTCTCTGTAAGGTGAATGCTATTGTTATCTCCATTTTACAGAAGAAGAAACTGAGCCACAGAGAGGTTAAGTCATTTGCCTAGCATCACACAGCTAGACAGCAGCTGAACCACTCTAATCTGGAGCATGTGGCCCTGTGAGGGGAGGAAGCCAAGGACTGGCTAGAGCAGGCCAGGTGCCCTCTTCCTGGATCACTCCCTTGCTCCCTATCTCCCCTCCCCAGTGCTGCATAAACATTAGGGTTATCATTAACCAAGGTCTGCTGGTGACCCTGGGGTGCAGGCCCAGGAGGGGCAGAGGCTGAGAGCTTAGACGGATGGGGATGAGGGAGCCTTTAGAAGCCCCGTAGGTCCTCTGAGGCCATGTGCACACATGTGTGTGTGTGTGTGCCAAGGCTACGCCTGTGCTCTAGTGTGAGCGTGTACACCTTCCCCTGACTGTCCTGCAGAGCCTGAGGTCTGGGCCTTGCTTCTGACCTCCTTGACTGAAAGGGGGGCAGTTTCTGCCCTTAACCACCAGGGGGACCCTGGGAGAATTAGCTCCACTTTGCTCAGCCTAGATTTGCTCATCTCTAAAATGGGGTTGATAGTAAGACAATGTAGGACTAGAGGCCTCCGAGCCTGGCCTGAGGTGACACATCTGGCCTCAGTGATTTCTCCATTCTATAGGATGGGAAGCTGAGGCACAGAGAGGTCATATGGACTGCTCAAGTTCACGCAACCAGGAGTGGCAGTCTAGACCTGACCCCAGATTTCTCTGTCACCAGTGCCTTGTGAATTTGGTCTGCCCATGAGGACGCCAGCTGTGTTGTCCTCCAAGAGGTCCTAGAAGCCATGTGATCTCAGGGAAGGGGAAGTTCAGGGTGAAATACATCAACTCGGGTTTGATGGTGTCAATGTGTGAACAGCAGTGTGTAGGACTATTATGTCTGTGGTTGTGTGGCCGGCTGTGTGCTTGTTTGCCTGTGCATGAGGTTGTGATCACAGGTGTGTGTGTCTGTCTTCGTGGTTATGTGTAAGAGCAGCTGGTTGTCTGTGTCCTCGACAGTGTTTCTGCCTCTCTTTGTGCCCATGTAAATGTGTGTGAGTGTCTGTGTACATGTGTATACAAGCTTGCGGACCTTCATATCTCTGAGACTGTATAGGAGTGCTGGCTGTGTGCCTATGTTTTTGAGTGTATTTTTGTGTGACATGTGTGTATGGGTGTGTTTCTGTACCACCATTTGTAAGGATGTCTTCATAAGAGTGTGTAGCTTTATGAACCTTTGGTAGTTGTGTGGCTGTGTCCTTGATTGTGCCTCTCTATAAAGATATCCTTCGGAGTGAATATGTGTGTGTGTTGTTTGCGTAAACAAATGCATTTGTCTTGGTGTTTTGTGACTGGTGTAAGAGGTGCTGGCTGTGTGTGTGTGTCTTTGGGTTTCTCTATGAATGTGTTATTCTGTGTGTGTCTGCCTCTCTGTTTGTATGTATATACATACATGTATTTGTGTGCTTTTTTTGCCTGTTTATCTGGATTTGTGGGTTTCTGTGTGTGCGTGTGTGTGCACCCGTGCACACATTCCTGCGGGATTAAACAGTCAGCCGTGGATAACACGTACACACACTGAAATGTCTCCCAAACAGCCCTGTAGTGTTTGCTGAATAGGGCTTCAGAGAACGTTGGAATCAGGGGTCAGTGGGCTCCTCAACACTCAGGCTAGGTGACCTTAGTTCCTCCTAAGCCCAATTCCCAGGGAGTAGCACTGAAAATCACTGACACCCCTTAGCCCAGCTCAGTAGCTCTCTGAAATGGGCCAGAGGCATGTGCATGTGCGTGTGCATGTGTGCGTGCATGTGCATGTGTCTGCAATCCAGTCGTCTCCGTCAGGACCTCCTCTCTCCAGCTTTCCTCAACGTGGCTGTCTACTGTTCCTCCATCTGAGCGGAGAGAGTTAACCTAGCGGGCCAGGGCGGTCTGGGCTGGGGGCCGCCCCCTGGCCCCCCTCCAGCACCAGCTCCAGTTACAGCTGCTGGTTGGGGAGGGCATGGCTGGGGTGGGGCTGGGAGGGGAGACTGCTGGGGGCGGTGCATCCAGCTCTGGGCCAGGGGGTCCAAAGTGCTCGCCGGGTCACAGCCAGACTTGGGGGCCTGCTTCCAGCAGGGGACAGCCTGATTGGGGTGAGCGTCCCCCAGCCCTCCCCTCTCGGCCTCACCCTTCGCCTAGCTGGGCAGCCTATTTTGGGAGCAGGAGTGGCCAGCCCCAGGCTTCCCAGGCAGGCCGGACTCAAGAGAAATGGAGTATGATTGGGACATTGGCTTCCCCCAGGGGTGGGAGTGTGGGTGCAACTTCTCCCTTCCTTGCTGCTACCCCTGGCTGGGTGTGGGTTGTGGACATTCACGTATGGCGGCTGGGTTGCGTCACTGTTTGGGGGCACTGGAGGCCTAGATGAGATGTAATGCGTGCCTGGCTGTGTCTCCACCCAATGTCCTGCCCCAACCAGAAGTGTGGAGGGAATGGGCGCTGTCTCCATTTCAGCCCCACTGTGTGTGTGTGTGTGTGTGTGTCCCTGCCCCTGGCATCTGTCTTTAATCTCATGTCACTTGCCTGGTGTTGTCCGCTTGTGAAAGATGTCACCCAGAGGTAGGCAGAGGGGATGTTTTTCCCTTTTCTCATTGTTTCCAGAAGAGGAGAAGGGGTGGCCTTTCCCCAGCAGGGTTGTGCTTGACCCCAGGGAGGGAAGGAAGGCTGTTGCCATGGTGGCCTGTGCAAGGCAAATTCCTCCAGAGTGAAGTGGGAGATATTTATACCCAGGGTCAGGCAGAGAGCGGCTGTCAGTGGCCAGGGCAGCCCAGCTGGGATATTTCGGACACACAGGCCATGGTGTGCCGGCAGGTGGGCCCTTGGACATGTCCTGCCGTCTTGTCCCCTACAGTGTATCTGTCTGTCCATCCGTGTGGGGTGAGGCCTCCTGCTCGCCATTAGAGTGGGTGCTGGGAATCTGCGGCCTGCTGTGGGAGGCCCAGGCCTGCAGGAGATCTCTGTGGGCTCTGGTGTCTCACCCCTGTCCCTGTGGCCGCGTGACCCCCATTGTGTGGGTTGATTTGGTGACACTGTGTCCTGTGAAGCAGGGGGTGCCCCTGTTACTCAGGGTGGCTGACAAATGCTTTTGGAATTAAGTCCCTCAGCTGTCTCTGACTTAACCCCTTGGGTTCAGGCTCCAATGGTGGGGGGACGAGGGTACGCATTTCCTAACTCTTGGTGTCCCCCAGGACAATGGCATCTCTCGACCACATCTTGGTTCTCTGTGTGGGTCTCCTTGCCGTGGCTAGAGCAGGTGAGTCTGGTCTGGGGAGGCAGCCCGCTACCCACCTCAGACCCAAGGGTGGCAGGAGTTGGGGAAAACCCTGTTAGGGAACCAAGTTGGAGACTCCAACCTAAACTGAGTCAGTTGGGGCACTTGGAAATCGGGGGGTCTCACATGGGGTCCTGTAACAGGCTAGGATGCCCAAGTCAGTCAAAGGGTGGGATGGTGGCTGGCTTCCCCAGAATGATGGAATCACAGACAACCTGTAATGAGATGGGGAGCTGAGATAGCTAGATGTCCCTTGCCCCACCCAGGACAGTGCAGAGAAGGTAGCTAAGATCCAGGGAGGGTGGGTAGCCTGCTTAGGGTCCAACAGGTCTCCAACTCTCAACCCAGGAAGGCAGAGCCCCCAAAAGGGTCTTTGGATGGCCCTGGCTGTCCAGGAGCCCAGGAAGCACCCAACCCCTGATTTCTCTTTCTCTTTCCAGAAGCTGCACAGGAACACGACCCATTCACCTATGGTGAGGGAGGGAGGAGCACCCGTCTTTGGGAATTCGGGGGTGGGGTGGGGGGTGGCCTGCCTTGTCCTCACTGTCTCTCTCTTGTCTGCTTCTCTGCCTCTTTCTGTGTGTCTGTCTCGATTTGATCCCTCTGTCTCGCTGGTCCTCTCTCTCCTGTGACCTCTCAGTACCCTACCGCCATCCTCGGCCGCTTCCCGCCCTTTCTGCCCTCGCGGCTCCTCACGCTCTACATCGCCCTTCCCCATCCCCTGCTTCCTCGGGCGCCCCCTGCACTGCCCAGCTCCCGCCCCTCCTTCACGCTCACCTCCCTGACCCACCTCCTCCCTCCTCCCTGATCTGCTCCTCCCTCTGATTGATCTTTCTCCCCCCCATCCCTCCTCCTTGCTCCCTCCGCCCCATTTTGCCCGTCTCCTGTCCTCCCTCCCTGCCCTCACCCTCCTCCCTGCTGCCCATAGACTACCAATCCCTGAGGATCGGAGGCCTCATCATCGCCGGGGTTCTCTTCATTCTGGGAATTCTCATCATCCTCAGTGAGCGCCCCCCCCACTGCCTCC